ATGTTGGGTCATCGGCAAAAATAGTGTGCACTTCATGACCAGCGATGTACCGGTAGTGGTGAAGCACTCAGCCATGAACGTGTCTAGTTACTAAAAATATTCCCTGTAATTATATTGTTGCAAAAGTATTATGTAAGTTCAAATTAAGATTGTAAGTTGTAGATATATATAATTAATATTCCTTTCATGATTCAGGTTATACTAACATACTTTATGTCCCTCTACATACTGTCACATGTTACTGACTAGATGTTGGGTTGCCATAGATGCTACACTTCCTAACTTCCAGAGACGCTGCTCCAGTTGTCAAGACACATTAGTGCCTGCATCATGTTGACCAAGGCAATGTAGCACATATACCAGTGCAGCAGTACCAGCTCGACTATTGCGGGTACTGAGGGTTAAGAGCATGTTGCATTATTCGTCCAAGTACCCCATAATCATTTGAACACAACTGACCTCTGCTGTTTACTGTCTTTTGAGTACAATTAACAATGCACTATGTATAGTTACAAGTAACACTGCTGAGAAGTATGTTACCTCATTTGACAGTAGTGTATATCTCAGAAACTAAGCATCTCAATTCATATGTTGTATAACAGTGTCAATTTGTTTATTTTTTGACAAGAAATACTACAGACAGCTTGTGCAAAAATTTTGTTTCAACTTGTATGTTACTGTGAACATGATCTAAATTAAACTGAATCCAATCTAACCCAGCCTCTTATACTGGCATTCACTTCACTACAGATGCAGTGACTATACTGACATAAATTGGTTATATGAGGCCTGACTGAGTAAATGCGCAGCTGAGGGTGGGATGAAGGTATAAGAGGCTTTATATTGCACATTCTGCAATGAAATGCATAATGCTATGTGAATAGTAAGGCAGCGTTTAACACATCATCTACATTATACATATCTAACACTGATATTTACCATAAGCACAAGAATTGTTTTTCTATATTTAATTGTACAGAGAAGGAATGGTTCATATTTACATACACTGACAACATGAAAGTAGCTGAGTATGCAACCTGTAAGCAAGGAATAAGTTATTCAGTAAAGTGAACTTAATCGCAATTTTGGTGTGTATATTTATCACAGTAACAAAATATTAAATTCAAGACATCCATCTATATTTTTAAAAATGCATAATAATATACACGATAATATTATAAAATGGAGGTAAATGAACAGAATCACAGCAAAACGTTCTTCTATCAAGAATATCAGAAATCACTGCTATTAATTCAAGTACTCACTATTTATAAGCAAGCGATGTGATCAGAAAATAGTGGTTGTGTTGCTGCTGTCTTTAAAGCAGACTGGAATGTTAGCTTCTGTTTCTCATCTTTTAGCTGCAAAACATATCATATA